ATGTCTTTTCATCCACCTGTTCTTCAACTTTCCACAGCTTGATGATGCCAGCGCTGGACCCAACATGGCTTCTGCAAATCAAAATATGGCGAACCTGGGGAACTCTCAAGCTCTGAATGATGACTACACGAATTCGGTATACGACAAAGGTCACCTGTTTCCTGTTTTGCATGCCGACAGTCAGGAATCTTCACTTGCAACATGCACTCTGACAAATGCTGTTCCACAGCACCAACACTTTAACAGAGGTGTCTGGAGACAAATGGAAAGCAATGTTTATGACTATAGTAAAACTAATTGCTTACAACCAGTATATATTATAACAGGAGCTGTTCCAGGCCAAAATAATACTAAGAATAGGGTTAACATACCTGAGAACCTGTGGACAGCTTTCTGCTGTCAGGACAGGAATAGTCATCAGTGGATATCAAAGGCTCACTTTGGTCCAAATGATGATTCTGGAACACTAAATGAAACAAGTGTGTCTCATCTAGAAAACACTCTGAAAACTCATTACCACACACAGAGCTTCTCCTTGTTTGGAGGAAATTGCAACGATATTAACAATCACATCTATTCCCACCAATAATCAGGCCACAAAGGCTAGCTCAGATTGGACTGTGATTATGGCTGGAATTGCTGGAGAAGAAATCAATAAAAATTGAAAGCTGTGCTTAGACTTAAAATCCTGGAATATTGTAGTAATCAGTAGAAGCTTTTGCAATTTTTGACTTAACAGGTATTTTGGTGACAGTACTGCTACAGTTCACTACTTCCTTCTTTGACTGTGATGGGAGCGAGTGACACTTCTTGAACCTTCTCCTTTACTGAACTCCTGTCCGTTTCCTGCAAATGTAGCTGAAAGTACGTCCAATGCTCTTCTCTACCTGCCCTGAGTCACTGATCGCTGGTGCTTGTTCTCAGTGCAGATTCAGTGAAGCTGCTCTCCTTTTGTGAGCCAGCTTGTTCTTTAACAATACATCTCACAATCGCATAAACGTGAATTGATAGACAACGTCACCGGATTCAGTGCAGTGAGAGAAGACCAGACCCCCCTCTCTGAACTGGCTCCATCCCTCTGCTCTCCTCCCCACTGAGAGCTGGTGTGTGTGAGAGGACTGGAGCATCATCCAGGTGGGGCTGCACACTGGTGGGGGTAGTGGGATTCCCCCTGACCTGGGAAGAGCTCCGAGTGGAGGGTCCAGACAGGCGCTAAACAAGTGTAAAGACTATTATTAAGATTATTGCACAATGGAGATAAATTTCTCACTGTCATAACTTGTCATAACACAGTGAAGTCCTGCCTATAAAGAATCTGTAGACTGTTGCTTAAACCACCTTGTGTTTCCCTGTACTGTCACAACACAGAATGTTAAGTAAATGAAACTGCTATAAAATCATTAATTGCTCAAACATAAAGTGCATTGAAGCAAACCGTGTGATGGCGTCCTTACTGAGTCAAAAACACTTTTTTTTCCCTATTAAAAACTAACGGAGTGTAAGCTTTTGTTTTCTGGTCGGTTACGGGATACTGTAACGTGTGGTAGGGAAAAAGAGAGAGATGAGAGAGAGAGGAAATGCAGACGGTTCAGAAACCAGCTACAACGAATCTCCGTCTCCACATCCTCACGGGCAGAGTGTTTAAGCTCCACGAACCCGACAGTAACGGGAACATCGTTAGACATGAACGGTTGTGCAACCGCGCCGATTTAAAAGCCTCTGACTAAGCCTTCTGCGCGAGCGAAGTTGGCTGTGTGATTTTTATCTGCGCTTTTCCGAGGCTGCTTTCTGGAAAGGAAGAGTGTGTAAGATGAGGGCAGGGTTAATATTCTCTCCGCTTTAAAAGGGACTCAGGGTGCCGGGGTGGGCTCGAACCCCCCCCAGCCTGCCGGCTAACAACCGAACCCACGAACCCAGAGCAGTGGTTCCTCAAACTTTTTGGACCGAGTACCACCTACAAGTCATCTTCTCACGGGAACCCCAGAAATTCTCAATGACACACACACTCACACAATGACACACACACCCGTGTAATACAGATTATAATAATGAACTTTATTTGATATCGCGCCTTTAAAGGTGGCTTCTCAAAGCGCTTTTCAGGATGACAACAACAACAACAACAACAATAACAAAAAAGCACCATTTCAGCGAGAGGGGTGAGCCTGCTTAGTCGAGCAGGGCGGACGTGAATCCAGTGGTCGAGCCCTGATTCAATTCACAACAGAGTCGAACAGATTTGAAATCCTCAGGCACTTTCTTGACGGCGAAGGTCTCGCGGTGGATGTTGCAATGCGTCCATTCATTTCTGAAGCAACTAACTAACTAGTGCGAGACTACACCGCTGTGTCGGCTTGTCATCGCCCTAGCACCGTCTGTACAAACTCCGACGCGTTTTATCCCGTCGAGGCCATTCTCTTCGATCAATTCATCCAGAAGCTGAAATGCCTGCTCTCCTGTAGTTCCTGTTCACAGGACAGAAAGTCCTCATGGGCCGGAGGGTACGCTCAAACCCACATCGAACGTAAACGTGCAAATTGGCCAAATCAACGGCATCTACAGGCTCGTCTCATTGCAGTGAAAAGCATCTGCTCATCAGCGTACTTTAGACATCATCCGCCATTTCTATAATTCTCTGAGTGTGTCTTTCGGGGGGGCAGCAGGTCGAGCTGTTCAGCAGCTTTTTCTCCACACATAACATGTGTCAGCTCTTCTGCCAACGGTAAACAAAGTTCTTCACCAACAGGGTGGGGCTTACCTGCCTTAGCAATCCTCAAGCTTTGCATTTTCCTCCCGTTTCCGTTTCAGGAGTCCGTCTCGGAAGATAAAAGAAGTTTTTATTTCACGCGAAACACAGAGACGCTCGGTGTATATTTCTCAAATTAACCTAGAACGGTCCTTGAATATCTTCCTGTGATCTATCACGCTTCCCTGTGCTCACAAGATTGCCAGTGTCCCAACATCACGCACATTCTCCGTCCTCCCTATTGGCGGGAGATAACGCTTTTCAAATACAATTGGTCACTTTCGGTCGTAGCAGGACAGTGGTATAGAATTGCATACTGTAGTAGCCCTTGTGTCCACTCGAGTGTTAGCGAGCGCTGTATCGTAGTACGTCGGCTGCGTATTTAACACGCAAACTCATTTTATTCAAATAGAAAATATGCAAACCCGTCCAGGGTACGCCAGAGGACCTGGCGGCGCTCAATAGTTCGAGGACCCGATTGCGCCGCAGAGTTCCCAATATTTTAACAATAAAAAAACGAGTCACTGGTGATCTTCGATCTGTTCTTCGTTCTGGTGTGAAAGCGAGCTGTCCCAGGAAGGAAATGGGAACCCGCACAGGGCCGTTCCCGCTGACGACGGCGAAACCCTGCAGGGCACGAAAGGCGCCGCTGGGCTTCGAACACAAGACCTCCTGTTGAGGAGAGGGACGCGATAACCAGCTCAGCCACGGTGCTGGCAGAGAGGCCCCCCTCCTCTTCCAGGAGTCTGACTGACAGCACTGTAAAGACAGGAGTGGATCAGACTGCTGTGCACTGGGAGTCTGACTGACAGCACTGTAAAGACAGGAGTGGATCAGACTGCTGTGCACCGGGACTCTCACTGACAGAACTGTAAAGACAGGAGTGGATCAGACTGCTGTGCACCGGGACTCTCACTGACAGCACTGTAAAGACAGGAGTGGATCAGACTGCTGTGCACCGGGACTCTCACTGACAGCACTGTAAAGACAGGAGTAGATGAGAATGAGCTTGTTCCCCACTCCCACCACCCTCTGTGTAAAGAAGTGTTTCCTGTCCTGCCTGGAGGATCTCCTCCAGCTGTGTCTTGAGAGAACTCAGGGGAAGAGAGAGACCGTGACCCTGTCCGGCACAGGTGTTCAGATCTTCACACGGGATAAAAGAACGACACACCAGCCCCCACCCCCGCACACACCCCGGCAGGCCCCGCGCTGAACTGA